TTCACTAGGGAGTTTGCAAACTCACTGACCGGTCAGGGAGTTTGAGAAATTCTAGAGCGATTGGGACAAATAAAAACAAGTGTGCAGAATGTGGGTGGCACACGTGCCGTTCGTGATGTTAAAACAAAGGCGGCTAGTTGTATGGCCTATTTAACAGTCGCACGCTGACAAAAAGCCTACAGATCATATGCACACCATACTTTTGATTTTAAATTGTTCAGTGATCTAGCCCAAACATGCAGCGCCGCTTTATTTAGTCATACATTTATTTAGTTCACGGCCCAATTGTATCCGTTCCACAAAAGTGTGGCTATTCAAGAGTCAGGCTCAATATATCAAAGTAGAAACAGCTCAGTTGGTCATTTATGCTAAAGCATATAAGGCATACGTGTGGAATACTTGTGTGGAACGGATCTATAATTGGGACGTGAACTAAGTATGACTAAATGAAGCGGCGGTACATGTTTGGGCTAGATCACTGAACAGTTTAAAATGTTAAGCAGGTATTTATGAAGTGCATATGATCTGCAGGCTTTTTGTTAGCGTGTGACTGTTAAATAGGCCTTACAACTAGCAACCTTTGTTTTAACCTCACGGACGGCACGTATGACACCCACATGCTGCACACTTGTTTTTATTCGTCCCAATCGCTCTGGAATTTCTCAAACTCCCTGACGGGTCAGTGAGTTTGCAAACTCCCTAGTAAATTTGCAAACTCACTGATGGGTCAGGGAGTTTGCAAACTCCCTAGGGAGTTTGCAAACTCACAGATTTCTCAAACTCCCTGTAACACATACATATTAACTACATATATACATAAACATTATATATAGGACGCAAGTACACGGACTGTGAAGTGCGAATTCAATGGTAGCGGTATCATGCGCCAGATCGCTCTTTGGCACGAGCCTATAACTTAATCGGTGAATTATACACTGATACACTGATCGCTACCGTGACAAATATCTTAGGTACTTCTGCCTAAAATGTAAGAAAAATAGAACGAAAAAAAACTGTCGAGAGTGGATGTCATCCAGCTTTCTAGGAATCTCGACCACTACCTACACTAACAAAATACCAACAAGCATTGCTGTCTAAATATTTGGCCAGTGAATGGCGCCACAATCCTTGCAACGCGAATTCCAGTTACACGTAAATCGTCTATCATAACATAGGATTTCAAGAAACAACAGAAGATACAGCGCCCACTAGGTCATGCGACAAGACCAGCTATGCATCACTAACCGAGTTTGCACGCCGAGGGCGACAGTACCGTTTCCCTCACTCAATGTTTGTGGATTATTAAGATGATCATCAGCACGCGTGGCGTATGACTACTACTAATGGCTCATTGAATGGCCCACTGCCTGGCCGCCGCCGGCAAGAAATAGCCGCTGGCTGTTTGTTGGTCGCCGAGACCCGTGTGAATGCGAGCGGACCGCGCAGTCAGGTGACCAGGAAACAAGCGAACAGCTATTCAGTCCAGGGCTGCGGAGTCTGAGTCGGAGTCGGAGTCGGAGTCGGTCGGGGTCGACAGTTCTGCCCGGCCAAAATCTTACTGACTCCGATTCCGGAGTCGCAGTTAACGCTGCATGGCTCAACGTCATGCACTGCATCTGTTTACTTGACGATACTGCACTCGAAATTGAATTTTGTCGAAAAAAAAATTCTGTTTTGAGGAACGTTTTCAGAGAAAGAAGCAGAAGAGGGTGAATGTCCCAGAACCTGCTTTTTAAATCTGCATGTTATTTTTAATGCATATTTGCAACGCAACGCAACGCCTTTGGAACGCACAAGGAATCGTTTCAGGCAAGATAAAAACATCTCCATTATGAACTTCAATATCATGATAAGGGTATCAATAGAACCGTCCGGAGTCGGAGTCGGAGTTAGAGTCTGAGTCGGAGTCAATTTTTGAAGCCGGCACGGGTGGAGAATTGTGCTGGACTGGGGGTGCTCGAGCTCTCCCAATTCCACGCCGGCCACGCCGGCTTGGCTTTGGAGCCGCGGCCGGGCGGCGCGGGTCAAGGTCACCGCTAGGCGGCGGCGGATTTGCTGCGCCCGAGCACCCCCAGCTGGTCACAATTCTCCACCTATGGAAGCCGGAGTCGGAGTCGGAGTCTCGGAGTCACCCTAATATCCATCGACTCCGCAGCTCTGGTTCAGTCAGTGTCCCAGTCCCAGTGGATTGTTCTGGGGTGCTGGTGCGGAGTACACGCATTTAGGACCGTTGTCAAAGGAATGGGCAGGCGACAGTTGTACGAAGTGATTCATGCATAATCAAAGACGTCAGTATGCGGTAGGTAATAAGTATATATGAATACAGCATATCCAATCCATACCTACACGCCTCCAGGCTCAAACCTAAATAAATTTCCTCCACATTAAAGACGATATTTTTCCTCCACATTAAAGACGATATCGCGTATTCATCTCAGCACTGGAAGTGAGATTAGTAAATGGCCGATAAAATAGCGCTACAGTGAAGATAAGTTTGGTAATATATTTCAGAATAAGGAATCGATAATAAAACCAGCGAATGGCGATCGCCTGCGCCCACCGCAGCGGAACCGGTAGGCGGTAGCCTGCGGTCCTGCAGCCGGTCATGTCGACCCAGCCGTCCCTGAAGGCGCCGGCCCCACTCGCCACGCCGCACTGCTAATGACCTCAGGAGGGGGCGCCGGGAGGGGGACGGGGGGGGGGGCGCGGCCATGGCGCAGCGGTCGTTAGACACGGGAAACAGCCAACGTCGCAGGACACACATGAACAAAACAACCAACTCGGCAGTAAATACCGACCAACGGCGATGTTTTGAGCTTCAGCTTGAACGGCTTGAATTATACCGTGCCGGAAATTCGTGTGTCTATTCTCTCCAAATAACAAGCTCGGCAGTCGGTTTGTTGTCGTTTCCTGAGGCACCATACGCTGCAGTGAGGAAGTCATCACAGGGCCTCTGCCGGCGGCACTCTCCGCGGGGCACCATCCGCCGAGGGGGCACGGAGGAGGGGGGGGGGGGGCACTGCTGCAGGCAAAACAACATCGGGTCGGCGGCCGCAATACGTCAGTGGCGCTCGGCGGCTGTCCCAGCCACCCGGTAGTCGGTGGCCGGTCGGCCGCAGCAGCTCACCTGCGGCAGCGCGGCCCCCCGAGGCCGGCCACCGTCCGAGCGGCAAATGGAAGCCAACCGGTCAGCGGGCACGGAAACCAGCTAATTAATAGGTAGCCCACCTACGGGAGGAGTGGTTCGAAAGGCAAAAATAGGGCCGAAGAAGCGGAGAACCGAAAAAGACATTACAGTTGTCAGCGAATAGCATCAAGATGGCAAATCGCTAAGAACGCTTTGATTATAGAACCGTGCGAGAATCGCAACGTTTTCTGTATTCTGCAAACTATTCACAGCCGTATCCTGACCCATTTCATCCACGTCCAGTAGCCCAGTTCTCTTGCAGGCTGCCCACTGTGCGATGTATCTGCACTGCAGTCACACTGGCAGAGCGATTTGCAGGCCGCTGGGCGGTCGGCCAGCGCCGGCACTGTGGCGGATTCTTCAGAAAAGCCTCCGAACGCCCCAATAGACGTCCCAAACAATGCATAAAATCACCAGAGCTTCCGAGCGCTACGAAGCTTGACAGCCCAGCTGAGGATATTACTAAATCGACGAAATCTGTCGGATTCTCAGTACCGCTACGACCCATGGTCTATCGAAAACCCGCGGCTGGCAACCACTGCCGATTCCAATCTGGTCTTTGTTTTACGAGTCGTACTAGGTCAGCATGCATAAAGCTCCTTTGAATCTGGAAGCTGGAATACTCTGCAGTCTGCATGTAGACAAGGCTAGATCATAATTCGCAAGGATCCAGAAAGCACGTCACTCTGAGCGTTTGCATTATACATACATCCGTGCATACCCATCTGTGACTGAAGAGAGATGTTCTCGCTAAAAATATACTGTTTTACGCAACCCCTCCTGCGGATGAGTCGACCAGAAGCGCGGCAGTAGGTATACTCGTAAGTTAAGTAGGTTGTGGCAGACGTGTGTCCGAACATAGTGCAGAGCCCCGCTGCCTGGCCTGCTGGCTGGATCAAGCTATCGGGTTAATGCTGCCCTGTTTGCATACTACGGTCCACTTCATGCAAAGTGCATCACCAGCGACTCTATCGCCGTCCGGCTAATGACGGCAGCTATCTATGCCGTTTATCTTAACTGCAGCATAAAAACGTGCGGCCGCCGGAATATAGACAGGGCCTTTGGAACACGACGGTACGGCACGACAGAGGTTCCTTGAAAAGCCGCTCATTTAGCCAGAAAGTGGAACAAAGGAAATCGGAAAGCAAATGACGTGGAACACGAAGCCCCTGACAAACAGCACAAAACTCACGAGCGCTTTGTGAAGAAGAGTCCGGATTTAACAAAAATCAATGGTTGAACCCCACATATATTACATCCTGGCTTGCCTTCATCATCTACGCCTCTCATTCCACAGCACAGCCGTCACCTGCAATACTTATCCAAACATAGCTGTTGTTTGACTTCCAATTGCTCTGGTAATACCGCCTATCGGAGGGGTTCCTGACGACCTAATCAGTGGTGGGTGGTAACACCCCAGAAACATGATCTCAGTGATCCAAACCAATGACCTGACCAATAGCAAACACCATTACGTGTATTTGACCCATCACTACCGCTAACCTGTAGCATCCACGACCTTCAGCCTCAGGTCGCGGGTAATGAAACTATATGGCAGCTTGATATTGTGGTCTCTTCCACAAATAGCCTTCGTTGTGAAATATAAGTGACCTGAGGACCCTTGACCTGACCTCGGCCATCTCACCGCCGGCTACCTGTCGTAACCGTGACCTCCGATCTATGATCCGTGACCTGCCCCCACAACCCATCGTCGTGCCCGTGACCAGTCGTGCCCGTGACCTCCGATCTGTGACCTGTGACCTGACCTCCCCTGGTCACCAGCAGTGATCCACCGCGCCGGTCGGTGACCCACCTGTGGTGTTCCGGATGTAGGATCTGGTCGGTGCGGAAAGTCTCCGTGACGTATTTGTGGAAGTAGGTGGGGAACGGCAGTTCAGAGTCCATGTCGTACACCAGACACCGAGAGTCCGGCTGGTACATGAAGATCACGTGGTAGTCCTGTAACGACATATAGACCGCGGTCAGTTCCATAAGACAGTCAGACGACGATCACGTGGTAGTCCTGTTATGAGAGGCAGGTCACGGTAAATCCCACAGCGCAGTGAAGACACAACAAGTATGTGTCCAAAAATCACACGACTGAGTGTTGTGCGATGCAAAGATGTGTAGGGGTGAAGGCAAATGTATAGGAAGTGTAAATAAGAGAGTGTAAACAAAGTCGGTAGTTTCTGCACGCCAGTACCTATGTGGTAACCACGTGTGTCGCCGGCCGGCACGGGAGTTCCCGGCGCAGACCGATTCGCGCGCCAACTTGTGACGTCGCTACCCCGCCCCGGCGCTGGGGGGCGGCCCAGGACGTGTCTGTTCGTGAACTTTGTCCCATCACGATGCGACCGCGTGCCTGCGGCCTACAGCACCACACCTACCCAACATGTGACGAGCAATATCGGTTACACTTATGAATTCTACATTCCACCCAAAAATGCATTCTCTGATGCCTCTAGCTCCTGCTTTTATTTACAGTATAGGGCTCTGAGCCAGCTCATGCTGCTTAGCCCTGTTCCCCCTGTCAGTCATATCTTTACCTATCGATTCGCAGGTCAAAAACATCGAAATTTGCTCTAACAGCCGCCTCTGTCGACCGTCCCAGTACAAACACGTCTTGGACAATCCACAGCGGCAGGAGGCGTCGTCGGCCGTTTACCGTCGAGTGCCGTACCTCCCCCGGCCCCGCCCTCCCCGGGGGCACAGTGTCCGGCCGGCCGCGCGCGTCCCGCCGGCCCGGCCGGGCTGATTTATTCGCTGCAACTCGCCGCGGCCGGCGCCGACGGGGGCCGTTTGCACAGACACATAAACAGGCTGTGTGCGAACGACGGTGCAACGTCGTAAACGGCGCTGCGGGAACGGCGGTGCACGGCCGTAAACGGGAGCTGCATCGGCCATGGCGCGTCGGCCGCTCGGTCACTGGGACAACGAACAGACGGCTGGAGGATACCGGCGCGGCCACCGACACCGCACCGCACCTACCCGCTCCAGAACTGACCAGGGACTGGGACTGAGACTCCCACTAGCCCAACCCATGGCCCAACCCAAACCCGGCCAAAAATTCATGCTATATTACTTCGCCCTTTACTCGACATGGATGAGCGAAATGGAGCCAGCCAGCTTGACCCGTCCTTGACCCCGACCAGCGTCCGCCCATGACTGGCCTGACATGCAGTCAAACTGGCTCTGCGTGTCCGCTGCACTCGTCCCTCCTCAAAGAAGCTCTCTGACTTAGCATGCCCCCCCCCCCCCCCTCGAACACACACCCAAACGCTGATCTGAATCAAACTGGACGAGTCACTCCACTTTACGTGCCTACGTCGATACTACAGGCTTCCTTGGTTGTATGTCTGGCATTACCCCATAACTCCGAACTCAAAGCTGTACCTACACTAAGACGTAATTTATCACTCAGTTCGCCCATACCTTTCAAACCGTCAGTGAGGCGGACGGCGCACTGAAGTATAGATGGGAGAAGGAGCGTTCAACAATCAATCTTTTGAAAACGTCTAGAAAATGGACCGGCGGCTGTTATTCACGCCACCACAGCGCGGCATCGGGAAGGTATTCGCACCGTCCTCCGCCGGTTTCAGTGGGCGCACTCCACAGAGTACTCCAGACCGTCTGGGACGCGGAAGGCGGAAATTATCTCAGGAGACCGAACAGTTCGCAGATTGACTCGGAATAGGAAAGTCGGTCAGTCGAGGAGTTCGGGGTAATGGTCGTAGAGCACAGAGAGACTGATGTCAGAAAGTTCAAAGCTCTTCCTGTACCTGCGACAATATTCAACCAAAAATGGCGACCTTCAATGGAACTCAGATTTTCCTTAAAGATATTCCATGAGTAATCGATCGCTAAAAGCTCATTCACCAATCACTGTCGCTACAAATTACTGGAAGTGGTTCGTAGGCGTCTTGTTGCACTTATTTCAGCGGACGACACAAATCCCTAGTTTATAGAGCCGGTAGTTTTTTGATCGTTGAGTTCGCATTAAGCGTGTTTGGCAGCGAAGTTGAGCCATAAAGCCATCCTCGGGTGAGCCATTATGTCCACAGTCGATTACGTTGACAACTGGCACTTACAGCAATGGGCAGGCAGCGCTGGTCGCCGCGAGCGCCCGCCACCCGCGCCCCTATCAGGCCTCTGTCAACAATGTCATGGATGACACGGGTCGATACAGGCGCGGCCGCACCTCCGCCTCTCTCGGTCAACACCCTCCGCCGCCGTCCGGCCCGCCCCAGCGCCGGCCATGGCCGATCGGCCGTCCGGCCGCAGACGGCGGCAAGCAGGCAGCCTGATTGCCCCCTCCCCGCTCATCAGCGCCGCGGCACTGCCAGCTGGCGACGGCACGCCACGCCGCGGAGCCGCAGTGGCCGACAGGTAGCCGGTGACCCGCGGTGGCCGCTTCCGGGAACCACCACAGCCGGAGGTCACTCCGCTCCCTCCACTCGCCAACGGCGGCGGCGGCGGTGGGGAGGTGGGCCAGTGCCGCGCACCGAGCCATCGACCCGCCGACGGACGAACGACGCACCGCCGCCGCAGCTGACCCCGCGCCAGCGACCGGACACCGCGGGGGCACCGGAGTGGAGTGCAATGGAGGTAAACACCGGCAATGGGTCCCAGGCGGTTCGAGAAAGTACGGAAGGTTCGCACAACTACCGTAAATAAAGTGATACGGCGAATGAAACGCTTCCTATACGGTAGTCAATGGCTCGCAATGGAAAGCAATGAGCAATAAAAATAATAACGAAGTTCACAATGAAAAGCACTCAGCACCAGCAGGCACAAACAAGAAACACCTAGGAGCATTTCGTATGACAAATACTACAATGTATGTACATCAGGTCTGTACATGTACATGGATGTATCAGCTGTGGTAAGGCAACCAATGAACCCACGGTCCATACCATCCATTAGATAGCCAACAGCATCCAGCATCGCCGACTCCGTGGATCGTCCCGGCCGGAAACCATGCTGTTCATCGCAGAGAACATTATGAGTCAGCAAGAATGACATTAGCTGTGTACACATCCAAGGCCTTCGACAGCGTCCAGCATCGCCGGCTCCTGGAGAAGCTCGGCTGGTACGGGATTGACACTCATTGGTTTGAAAATTGGCTGGGCGGTCGCAGGCAGTCTGTGAGAGGTGGAACTGGAGGTACGCTACCCATTACTCATGGGGTGGTTCAGGGGTCATTGTTAGGACCAATTTTATTTTTAGTATTTACAAATGACTTGGTGTCTTATATGGATGGCTCAAAAATTGTGATGTACGCCGATGATGTGCAGTTCTTGCACCAGGGATTGTCCAATAATTTGACGGAACTCCAAGCGACTGTTGAGAGCACCGTGGCCACTGCGCATAGTTGGTTTGATGAAAATTGTTTGAAAATCAATCCCAACAAAACTGATCTAACTCTTATCAAATCTACCAGAAGACGATCTCCGTCTCAATTATCTGTTCGTTTTGGCAATGCAACTATCAAACCTTCTCCAACAGTCAAAGTGTTGGGGATGACAGTAGACGGAGGACTCACATTCGAAGCTCACGTCTCAAGCGTGGTGCGGCGCTGCTATGCCACACTCGGTGGTCTCTCAAAAATGACCGGCAAATTGCCCGAGATGGTGAAAAAAATGATAGTAGAAACGCTGATCTTTCCACACATTTCGTATTGTTCCACGGTGTGGGCCGGGTGTACCAAGATCCAGCGCCACCGTTTACAAAAGGTTATCAACCACTGTGCGCAGGTGGTGAAGGGCACCAGACGGTCTGCCCATGTATCACCACTGATGGCAGACCTGAACTGGCCATCCATTGACTCAATGATCACTGAGCGTGATGTTGCACAGGTGCATTATTTGCTTTATCACCCTCAAGCGCCGTCCAACGTAACCCAGGGCATTGTGCACCGATCCGATGTCTCCACCCGGGACACCAGAGCCGCTGTGGCTGGTGCCCTGCAGATTCCCAGGGTAAACAGTGAACATGCGCGGAAGTTTTTCTTTTCCCGCGCGCCCGCCCAATGGAATCGCGCCCCTGCCGGTGTGACAGGGGCTCGCTCAGCAGCGCTGTGTCGCAAAAGAGCGAGAGACTGGCTGAGGGAACGCGACTGATATGAATGTGTCACTAATGTGTCTTCAAACATATACTTTGTGCTTCCGTATGGGTGTTGTGCATTTTAGTGTTACTTTTAGCTTTCGTATGTGTATTTTATCTTTGTATGTACTTTGACACTTGTCCCGAAAAGCCATTTACCATGGATGGACATAAGAATAAATGATGATGATGATGATGATGATACAAAATAGCAAAATAAACAAAGAAAATATGCCAGAACCTGGCGGAAAATATTACCTGGCGATGATTAGAGAGGGTCTCACTGATCACAAAACCGGGGCGACAGGAACAAGGACAGAAAATGAGCAAAATCTTCTCAATTCTCTGCGAATTTTTTATGCTGGCTCAGAACGAAGGCAAAGTCCATGGCCGAATTTTGAATAAAACGGACACCATTCGGTGCCACTGTCAACCGTGGTAGTGTATAAGCGATAACCACCGGCCCTACTAGACCCTAAAGAACCGGGAACAAGAGCTTGGTGAGCCTGTTCTCAGCGGTTCTGGGAAATCAACATAAATAGCATCCCACCAAGATACCAGACATCCGCGAATTTGTAAATCAATGAGTACCGTTTTCTATTCACAAATCCTCATTCCCCTCCGTTTTCCTCCTCCGTTTGTATAATGGATCGTCTGGACGAACGGCCATGACCTACCCAAACGGCCGCGACCCTAACTGTGGTGTTCGGTGGCCACCAACACCTACACAGATAATATCCCAGATACCTATTAGGAATGTGTATTGCTGCGGCCTAAGCAAGGAGGCGAACAGTAGTATGCATACGGTGTTCAGCAGTTTCCAAAAATTCACCAAAACCTCTCTCAATTACGACAAAAGACGGCCCGACCCGTGGTGCTGTCGCTACCGGCAGCGACCTACCCAGGTGGCGACCCGTGATGCTGTCGGTGTAGTCTCGTGACCTCCCCCGATGACGACCCGTGGCGACCCGTCCCGTGATGTTATCGTCGTGACCTACCCAGATGACGACGCGGTCCTCTGTGCGTCCGGCGCGCTGCCTCCACAGCGGCACCGTCTGGTTCTGGTTGGAGATGAACACCGCGTAGCAGTAGGGCAGCTCCTGCGGGTACTTGTCCTGCACGTGTTGGCACAGCAGCCACACGTTCTCCTCACTGTGCGGGAAACAGGAAAGGGGTGGGGGGTCAGAGGTTGCTGTGTGTGCCTGTCACCGACGGTGTCCGGCGTGTTAAATCTAATTGTGTCGTAGTTCATACACATCAGACACCATGGTCTGCCCATGGCACAGTTGATTAAAAGTAGGAAATTACGAAACATCACCATGATTAAATATGCTTGTGATGAACCTTACAGATAATTAGTAGACACCTCAGAGGCCCAGAGACAAGGCTGGCAATCATTCATTTGGGGGAGTAAAAACATGCCCAGAGTTTCAATCTGGAAATACAAATACAGTATGGCTGATACTCACACCAAATTAGTATAGTACTTTTTTGCAAGCATCCAGAATAGTCACAAGCTTAAAGGTTCTGTCATATACCTAATGTCACCAAGCTTGAAGCTAACGTCAAGTATGACTTACAGTTAACTTCAAAATAAAATGCTCATCCAATAATTGGCATTGAAACATGGAAGGACATGGGTGCCTGATTGCAATCTTACCAATAGTGTAAGGTGTGTGTGCATTCCTTTGCAGGAGGAAGAATTGCTTTGATCTTCTGCCGCTCCGGACTCTCCATTGCCATTGCGTGAAGTTGAGATGTCTGAAAATCATAAAACAATGTGCATTAGTTAATTAGAGTTATCATCTTCCTGAAACACACAAATATTCAAGAAAACATTTAATGTAAAAACATGAAAAAAACAAAATGTGAATGGAACTCAAACTGTGGTATCTCTTAACTCAAATTGTGAGTCAGCTTAAGGGTTAAGAATTGAAGACATTTTTCAAATGATGATCGGTACAAAAGTCCTTACCGTCCTTACATTGATCAACAGAAAAAAGATACTCAGGGAATTTCTGAATTCAGGAAACTAAAACTGAACCTGACCCATTCAAACATTCCTCTAATTCAAATTGCGTTTCTCACTCTGGAATACGTTACCTCTGATAGTTCACTCCTCGAATTAGGTAACTGACTATGAGACACCAAACACAGGCACAGAACCCGCACAATTCCTCAAAAGCAAGCACGAACCCAACACAACCTCCACCACCGCTGTTCGTGTTGTAAATGAGCCCGGAAGACAACATACAGGTGGCAGCACAATCAATGAGAGTGCTGCCATATGAAGTTATTTCTTGAAGGTATTTTTTCCGTAATTCTCTAAAATGCCTTTCCCACACCAAACGGTTGAGATAGCGGGCCAACCCAACTAGATATACCGAGACAGCGATCCTTCAACTAATCCTATCAAGGAATGACCTGTCTCGGTGGGCGCCGAATGTGGTTTTGACTTTTGATGTCTTCAGCAAGTCACCAAGCAGCTGGAACGGGAGGCTGGGACGGGGCCCGGCGAATCTTGGGACGGCGGACTGGAATGAGGGGCCAACGGGATGAGACATGGGAGCAGCGGGATGGAGCGCGGAGACCGGCGGGCTGGGACACGGACGGGAAGTGACAGGACAGCGGACAGAACGAGGGTAGGGCGCGGTGTGGTCCTCTCTGGGACGAGGGCTGGAACGAGTGCCGTTCCCTGTAGCAAGCGGGGTGAACCGCCAACCTTGCATGACAGTAGGCCGGTGATATCGCATAAGAGAGGGGTTGTTCGGACTTCGGATAAACTCTTGGAGGAGAAACCGATAATCTCAATCTGTTATTGTTATTTGCTAGTCACTACCTAAGCAGTGTCTGGGGATTCAACTTATTAACACGCCCCGGACGGCAAAACAAATGTTACAGTAAAAGGGAAGCAGTGAAACGGAAAAAGTTGTAACGGAAGAACGCATTGGCATTGTAGCGCAATGAACGGTTACGCATTTACCTGACGTAATGAGTTATACAAGACTATCGATTTACTTTGATATCGTGCTTTGATAGAAGTGTTTCGATAACTTTCAATAGACGTTTAAGATGTTTTGATAAGTGCTTAAAGGGACCCTCCCACCTTAACATTAGTTTTGAGTTGAGATAGCCAAGTTTGCGGCCAGGCTCAGAAACCACCATTTATCCTGGTCGCAACCCCCGCAGCTTCATGGTGTTCAAGAAATTTCTTCCCTTTACTTGCAGGGTGGGACCAGCGTGGTCCCTATCTCTTAACCATTACGGGAATCTGATGACGTCATCAGGCTTTCGAACGTCCGTTAAATGTTTGACTAAAACGTTTTGTAGCACGCGGTGGTATATGCTGCTTTGCGCGCAACAAATGCCGCACTTTCAAATAAAGTCGCTAGGAACAGCGGAGATCCCAAAAAGTAAACAAAAGTAAAAGTCTAATATCTTGAAAACCGGTGAATATTTTTCGATGAAATTTGGTAGATATTCGTTTTTGCTCTTTCTGAACCGAGCGACATCACTTTCATGCCAATTCATTAACTTTTTTGAAGGTGGGAGGGTCCCTTTAAACAGACGTTTAAAAAATGTTTCGTACTAGCGCATAAACAGGCTCAACGCCTAAGCAGGACGTTTGAATATTTTTGATAGTCATTATGGCTAATCAAGCTTTCATTGATGTGACAGTACACTCATTAATAAGCGTCGAAATAAGCGTTCTAATAACCGTCCTACCAAACGTTTCAATAAACGTTTTAATAAACGTTTCAATAAACGTTTCAATAAACGTTTCAATAAACGTTTTAATAAACGTTTTAATAAACGTTTTAATAAACGTTTTAATAAACGTTTTAATAAACGTTTTAATAAACGTTTTAATAAACGTTTTAATAAACGTTTTAATAAACGTTTTAATAAACGTTTTAATAAACGTTTTAATAAACGTTTTAATAAACGTTTTAATAAACGTTCTAATAAATGTTCTTATGGACGTTTCTATAGGCGTTCTTATGGACGTCCTCATAAACGCTCTTATAAGCGTTCTAATAAACGTTATAATAGACCTCTTAATAGGCGGTTCAATAGGTGATTTAATTGACCGTTTCTATAGGCATGTTAATCGCCAGTTAATAGACGTTAAGTAGACGGTCAAATAGACGGTTCAATAACATGTTCAATAGCCCGTTTAATAGCCTCTTCAATAGAGGTTCAATAGACGGTTCAACATACGGTTCAATATACGGTTCAATCGGTTCAATAGACGTTTACAACGGACACTTACGCAGACGTTTAAATAAACGTCTTGATCGACATTTAACTGATATAGGTATTATTGTTATACACACTGGGATGATTTCAGATTCCTTTATGCAGACAGAAATTTAGACATAAATGAATATGATGCAAGGATTGATAAATAACATGAATCTAAAGCAATTATACGGCACCGAACACTTGCAATTCACAACGCATCGCCGCGACACACACCCCGCGCGGGTCAAGGCCGGTCTGCGGCCGTCCCGTTCCTGCTCCTCTGGCGGCCCGCCCGGTCAGTGCCCCCGGGCTAGGGACAGCTCCTACCGCTCCGACCGATCTCTGCAGGTCACCGGCCGGTGACCGCGGGCGGACACCGACCGGCCGACCGGTAGCCATGTCTTGAGGTGGGTACAGTTATCCTCTTCACCCCCCAACCCCCAACCCTTACAAAAAACATACCTTCCTGCTAGACTTGCATCTCTGTCTCAGTGTCTCTCTTTCTTACTCCCTCTTTCTCGCCCTCTCAGGCACCCTCTCCCTCGCTCGCACGGTCCATAAGATCGATGGGGTTATTACTCGGTATCTTACGTCTGCCATAGGTCTCCAGAAAGAAGAATGATGACATTGCCATTTGCCAGTAAATATCCTCAGTTATTGTCGAATGCCTACCGTGTCATCAGCCGTGGTGCGACTCCGTATGCCTACTTCTGTTTGTTCCGTTTCGATTTGCTCGGTCTCAGAAGCCCACTCGCTCGCATCAATAAATACGAGATGCCGTGTGTTCTATCATCGATTGCTTTCTTATAGCGAGGCCATCACCGTCCGCATGCTCATTAGGAAAGATTATCATCTGGTGCGCTTGTAGGTGCTTCTCTGATTTGATTCATCACTGCTTCAGTGATTTTCGTTAGTTGCTATTTATAGTTACCTGGATAACTTCGAGCATCAGTAGCTTGATTTCCAGAACTTATTTTATCGGTCATATTCTTTCGATGCTCATCAAAACCATTTTCTGTTGTTTTTGTTTGCTCCGTGCAACGCAGTCACCGATTGCAACTGGGCCGTTGGCAATCGAGGTCATCCGGCGCGGCTCACCGCTGACGGCCGTGTCTTTTTGTCCGTCACACCGAGACCTACTTTTCCTCGGGCCCGGTCCGACTGCAACCAGACCTGACCTGTCAGTAGATGAACATACTGCGCCGCCGCCGCCGCGCGCCGTCAGCTGCGCCGTTTTTGTCTGTGCGCCGCGTCGGCCGTGTTTTGTGCCCGGTCGCGTTTTTGTCGTGGCGTCAATAAAAACATGTCGACGCACCGGCCGCTCGCGCGCCGCCGCCGCCGCCGCCGCCTCTGGCGACGACGGTCCGTCCACCTGATGAGAGCGGTCAGTGACCACGGCGCATCGACACGGCCCGTCCCCTCATCGGCGACCGCCGCATACTCGCATAGGTATCGAGAGGTGGCGCGGAGATGAACGGCAGAAGGATCTGACCTCGGCCCGATATCCACGTCCACACTGCCCCTCAGGCCTCAAGCGTGGAAACTTCACTGCCGCCGAAGAAAAAGTGAGAATGGTGTTCATGTTTACAGGTGTTGACGATGCATTCAGTAACAACCGAGAAACGGTATACAATAAGCCCGGATTTCGAACTGTTAGCGTTATCATTTGAGGACATGCTCGTTAGCAACAGGCCCGTGTTTATTAACTACTTGCACGTTTATTCATCAGATTATATTTATGTCGCTTGTGGTCTGTTGGTAAATAAATGAAACTTATACACTTTGTTGGTTCCTTCCGCTCGTCTGCCAGTCTCACAGTTGGTTACTATTCTATAGGCCAAGTATACTTAATGCAAAGGAATAGAGGGTCAGTGAAATTAATATAGCGCATTGAGGTTGTAAACCTTGGCTCATGTCCATAGTATGATGTAACGTCCTTTCCAGAACGCTTGTGTGGTGCCTTAGCGCCAAGCATCGTAAACAGGATAACGACCAAACTACCATTTCGCACAATCACCCCGGTCTTTACCGCACTTCCGTAAGCAAACAATTTAGCGTCACTAATGAATTTTGTAGTGTTTTGTGTTGTCATCTGTTTAAAATGCTTGTTTTCTTTGTTCATGTATCTTCGGCAAGTGCCAGGTATGTGTGGCATTCGGTCAGATACAATCGAAATAGAACGAATTAAATAACTGCGGCAGATCATCCCTATAGCTGAGCCGTCCTTAAAATCCCTTAAAACCATAGCGAAGTTTTCACGTGTATTTACGATGCATCTTCAAAGTAAACACAAAACCACCATCAACACAGTCTTTATAAATCGAGTCATCAACAACTGACCACGCAAAAATAATATCCCATCTTCTATTTCATGTAGTTCATTTGCTTCTATCACAACATGGTAACTACATATTAGCCACGTTTACACTCTTGGGTGACTCAATCGGTTAACATACTCGCATTCTGTCAGGAAGATCAAAACAAGCATCTCTTATGCTCGAGGACATCACTCACACAACTCTCACACAATATTAATCGCAGCTTTGGCATGGGGACCGAGCACTTATAAGTACTGATATTATCCGGACCTGCGATCGGACCGAACACCCGCTCCGATAGGTCGTCAATCGAGGCACCTGAAGGGGGGGGCGCAAACCCCGCGTTCGTTGAGCACTAAGTCACATGAAAGCCCATCTACTTACTCTGTCCGTTCAAATAACGATTACCGCGGAACAGACAGCCTTGCCAACGCGAAACTGGCTCACTACTCGGAACAGATGGCGCTGCTGGCCGGCCAAACGTTCCTATAGGTGTCGCCCCCTTCACCACGACGGCCTTTCAGAGGCCATCGAGGCCGGTCTCAAGGCTACTGCCGACATTAGACTAGCTGATAGTGGGTCAGACAAAGGTTACAAGCACTAACAGCACGACACTGGCAGGAAGAACTGACACCTCACTGATGAACAGCGCCAAACCCGGAGATAAATAACAAGGGACGGACGTCTATCATGGCCACAATAGTCTCACACGATAAGTAAGCTCGGGTTATCGTGCACAACTTACAATACGATTAATTAAGTCACATTCCTGTCTTGGGCGACCAAAAAGCTCACCATTGGTAACTTGCAGAGCACACACCGCCGGACTGACGGTTTCCCGGCGCCGTTTGTACTCACTCGTACCATCACAGACCAAACGGGAGTCACCAGTACCACACCACCTCGCCCCGGCCGGCTCACACGGGCGCCCGCGGCGCGCCCGTGCTCTTCTCAAAAACCGTCCGCTTGTCGCGCACGATCCCCTCGGAGACGGGGACGCGCGGCAGCGGCCTGGCCCTCTGTCCTGCGGCCGGCGCGGGGTCCTCGGCGCTGCTGTCGAAGAGGCGCCGGCAGTCGGCCACCAGCCGGTCGGGCACCAGGGCGCGCTCGGCACGCTGCAGCCGCAGCCGGGCCCGCTCCAGGCTCAGCCGATCGGCGGTCCGCTGCCGGCAGCCCAAACTCAGCCGCAGCGTCCGGCCGCTGGCGCCGCTGCGCTCGAAGTAGGCCAGGATGCGGCGGAAGTCGGTGGCGGAGCGCTCGCTGGAGCGCTCCGGGCGGCCCTCGGAGTCGCAGCCCAGACTGCTGACGTCGTCCGAGGAGCCCGTGTACACGGAGGAGGCCAGCGTGGCCAGCGAGGCGTCGTCGTGGCTACAGGCCGACCGCAGCGAGGCCGGAGACAGGTCGGACACTGACGCCCGCTCGCCCTCGCCGACGCTGCTGTAGAAGCCCGACTCGCAGGAGGCCAGTCGGCGCAGCGCCGGCGCCTCGGTGAGGGTGAGGGCGGGCGGCGGCCGGTCGCAGTCGGCCCGGCGGCCGCACACCGGACTGGCCGGCAGGCTGTGGCAGCCGACGCGGGGCGCCAGGACCGGCTCCGGGGCCGCCGCCGCGCCACCGGGCCACGCCAGCTCCAGACACGAGCTGTAGATGTCGGCGCAGACGGGCGGCGGCGCGCGGCGGCTCTGCCGGTAACGCTGCAGCGTGGCGAACGGACTGGTGGTGTCGCCGGGCCGGTAGGCGGGGTCGCGTGCCGCCATCTTCCGGGCGACGGCCAGCGGACCGGTGGCCGGCCGGCGCCGCAGGGTCTCCTGGCGCCGCCACGGCCGCCGGTGGAGGCGCGCCTTGTCACTCGGAGAGCAGGCCTCGCTCAGCAGCTGGTGAGCCAGCCGGTCCTCCCGCGAGCAGCGCCAGTCTGCGGAGACAGCAGCGCCACCAGCCGTCAGCGGGGACACGGGGAACTAGTGGTTCATGGACCCGTGGCACATGAGGGTGGTGCAAAACGACACTTATGGCGTGGTGAGCTAGTGGGTTCAGGGGTAATAAAGCAATAGTGGGTTGCTCAATGCTCAAGATCACGATAGCACACGAGGCTTGATATTCTTCGAGCTGCGGTTACAAAAGCAACAACAAAGAAGACTGCACCGTCAGGTAATGCCGAAAATCATTGTAAATATTTCTGGCCAGAAATTAACGCTACCCATTCGGGGATTGGCCAACGTTTGTTGTTCCGTGATGCGTGATATGCTCGTTCAAAATCGCATAAAAAGACAAGGAGAAAGAACCAGCACCTTAATGAGCTTATCGATGAGCGATAGGTATAAGAAACGATAGGTCAGCGTTTTCTGAGTGTCACAGTGATCATCAGAGTGCAAAAACACGACCCAGGGTCGTCTCACGTATCGTCCCACTCGTTAGATAACCGTGAGTGAGCGCTCTGAGCATCGAACAAACACTTCGCGGAGCATGACACCGAGATCTGCAGGATCATTCAGCATTTACCGACTACTCCGACTCCGAGATCCAACAATGTCAGCACACAGTACTGCAGAAAATCCCAACTCAAACTCTCGTAGTGCCTAATCCTCTCTACGATAGGTGACAGTGTGAAACCATTTGAGAACGTACGGGTAGTGGGTGCGGCTGCGGGGATGGGCCGGCGTGCTGCGTCCGCCTGGGGTCTCAGTATCGCCAGTAGCACCTCCAGCCTCCGCACCAGCTCGGCAAAGGACGGCCGGCTGCTGGCGGCGTGCTGTGGACAGAGAGGGGCAGACACAGTCAGCAGACGGCGGACACACCACACGGACACAGGGGGTCGCGCCGCACAGCTGCGTCACAGTGGGTCAGGGAATTACACAGGTGTACAGAGACAGGTCCAGACGAGGCGATCGTGGGGGCACGCAGAACGGACAAAGGGAATGTAGGTGAGGCATGGCGAGGAACCGAA